AATAAATAAATAAAAAGGAAATAAAAGCAGAAATAAAAAAAAATGTATAAGTATAAATATAAATCTAAAAATAAAAATATGTATGACAATAAAAAAAAGGTGAAAGGGAGTTCTTAAAATCAACGATTGACGACGTATGATCATTGATCACTATTATTGTCCACAAACCAAATATCGTTATTTTCGCTTGAATTCGATTTCTTTTCACGATTTTTACCACCATAATATTCTAACATGCTGATAATATCCATCAAACCTCCTTGATCCAAATCTCTTGCGTTTAACGAATATAAAATATCTAAATCATCTTTAGATCTTTTTAAAGATGCTTCGTAAAATTCAGGCGATTGATAAAGATAATCAGGTTGTATTAAATCAAGAACAGCGCGTTGTGGTGAAGAAATTTCGTCACATTGACCAAGGCGATACCTATGAAAGATTTTAGGAATACCGAAAGAATGGGTACTTAAATCTAAATATGGTCGAAATCGAGGTGATCTGGTAAAAGAAGTGGGATGATGTGCTATTATGCTATTATCCTTCCAGTATGGATGAAACCCCTTTTCACATGTCAAGTTCTCTGAAGTATTTTTTAAAGGAGCTTCCTCTTCCTCCTCATCATCATCATCGTCATCATCATCACCATCATCATCATCATCGTCTATAACCATCCGGGTGGTTGAATCATGCCCGCCACCGGGATCAAAGAACGGTAGGTGGAGATCATCATGAGATATTATAATATCATCCATGGCATTATCGCCTTTAGAGATTTGTTCTTCATGAGGGAGTTCTTCACATTCCATCTCACAACCATGCTGGACATCATAGATTTGAGGGACATCGAATCGATCTATCTCGGTAGATGAAGAAGAAGGTTGATGACATTCAAGAGGTCTATTTACATAAACGTAGCCTTCTTCTTCCTCATCAAGACCGTCCAGACAGGCGTCAAGCCAGCTCTGTTCATCTTTCTTGATATCTTCTTCTGACCATTCCAAAGGTTCTTGCTCCGACGGACCAAACTTTTTAAATACAAAGTTATTAAGCAACACCAATTTTCTCAACCCGTCGCTTTCGCCACGAGTTGTTTGAAAATTGTGAAGCTTATTTAGAGAAATATTATAGATAAAATCTATATCGACCATTGTTTAAAATTGTTAAAAAGTCTTTATGTGAGATAAAAGGGTAAAATAATATATAATTTTTTTTTTTTTTAGTTTTTTAGTTCAGTTGCTAAGGAATTTTGCCTCTTTTATGCAATTGATTGAATGAGTTGTGTGGCACAGTAATAAGCAAATATAATAATATAAATAATTATGCGAAGTAATATAATTAGAAGATGTGTAAGTTAACGGCTGTCTATTCCTAATTTGTAATTATTAAAGAAGTTAACTATGGATTTTTATATATTTTCTTGTCTCCGTGTATGAGAAAACAAAGGGGCGTAGTAAGTGATTTGAGTGATAAGGAGGAATGTTTTTTTTTTAACAATGTTCTTTTTTTAATTTTGAGTTTTTTGTAAGGGAAGTTAGAGTAAGATTATTGTTTGTCTTCCTAGAGACAATTTTAATTCGAATTATTTCCGACGCTTCATGGTTACTGCAAGTGGTTATATGTGCGCACTGTATAATTATATACAAAAAAAAAAGGAAGAATTTATAAGAAAAACATTTTGATTTTTTTTTTTATTACAAAAAGCTGATTTATTTTATGTTTATTTATTTTTATTTATTTTTTTTTTTTTGAAAAAAAAAGGTAACGTGGAATAAACAAGAATTAATGTAATATATATATATATAAAATAACAATGATAATTTACTTTATTAACTGTGATGGGGGGGATATTCCTTATCCTTGGAAATTTTTTTTTTTATCTCGAATAGAGAAGAGAGAAATATCCAAAAAAAAAGATTTTTTTCTGGTCTTTCGGGATAACTTAATATGATGGCATGGTTATATATATATTTTTTCTGCGGGATAAATTTAAGAAAAAAAAGTTGTGAAAGAAAAAAAAAGAGGAAGAAGAGTTAAAGAGAGAGCAGAAATTTACTCTGGATTTGTTGCGTCCTTTTTATTATTTTCCGCAGCCACAATTTAATATAAAAATAGTATAAATAGTATTGTAAAGAATTTATTAAATAAGTGGGGAGGGGGGGAATTTTGTAATATGAAACAATATAAATAAACTGTTTAGATTAAAAAAACCGGATATTCAAATAAAAATATGTATGACAATAAAAAAAAGGTGAAAGGGAGTTCTTAAAATCAACGATATGCAAGTCCGTGAGTCAGATGTTGTTGTAATTTGTCATAACCAATTCCTTAATTTGTACCGTTAAACTATCAAGTTCTCACACTCCGTAGTCAATTGCTCGAGATAAGGTTGGGGGGTTGTTTCACTCAGCAAAAATTATTCCGTTGTGTCATGTTTCGCTTTAAAAATTCCGAAATTCTCACACGCAATAACCGATATATTTTGTGAAATTCGAAAACATAAATATTGCGGAATTTTAAATCATTATGGTATAAAATTCAATCATTTTTTCTTTATCTGGGTGAAGAAGGGATAGTTCCTAAATCCGTTTAATGTTATACGGATTACCGGCATCGCGTGTGACCACTAGGCGTATGATTTGAATGACTAGTTTCGGATTGGTTTAAACCTAAAATCGTCTAAACCTAATTTCCATTTGTGTCATCAATATAAATTATTTCGTCATTAAATCTCTTCTTTGGTAACAAGAGGAAGAAATCCACGGATATTTTTTAAGATTTTTACCGTCAACTTTCAAGGAATTTCCAGCAAGCCCCGGTCCCTGGTTCCTTATAAAAATCGTGACAAGCCACATGGGTAAAGGTTTATTATTTTTAAGGTTTAGGAAGATACATAAGATAACCGTTAGGTAAATTTATTTATTTTTTTTTGTTCTCATGACCTCGATTCTTAATGTTATCGTTCGGTTATGATTTGCAGATGATTGAATTTTTATGTGCCCCAAGCCCAAATGTTATGTACGTTTTAGGATAGTGATCAACTTCCCAATCAATGCTCATACTTGATGTGCACTGATGATGAAATTTTGTCACGAGTGCGTGTCATACTAGAATGTCATCACGGTCATGTGTCATTTAATCAATAACCTAAAGTCGGTGAATATTATGGTAATTCCAAAAACTAATCTTAATCAAGTATGAATAAAGTCACTTGACTCGTAGATAAAAGAGTACGATTTGTCGTCATCGATGCGTACCTTACCGGTTAAATATTTTTCATTTTTTATTGGGATTAGGTCAGAATATATATTTATATCTGATTGTAAATCGATTCTTTAAAATCCTTTAACGGGGAAAGATGAACCGGATTTTTTTAGTGAACAATGAGTTCCATTATGTGGCTCATAAATGCGATATGACTTCAGTTTGTCACACACTAGTTAGATCACGTGACTACACATCAATAAAACTATTATTATTATGATTAAATATATATTATTATACGTTTTTAAACAATTTTCATTAGAATTTGAAAAAAAATTCTTAAAATTCTTTATTTAAATTTTACGCATACGATACAATATGTATTATACACACATATATATTGTGCTTTGATCAGTTGAACACAAATTCCCAATTAATCCTTTACATTATGATGTAGTTTATCTAAATACAAACCTATTTGTTTCATAAAAACCTGTTCTTCCAGGTTTTATAATAATTTGTTTTAGTAAATGAAAAATAAATAATAAAAATAAATAAAACCTTCCAGCGTTCAATCTTGATTTATGGTTTTGTTTGTGCACGTTCCGCAGCAACATACCATTTTGCTGACAAAACTTTTGGGTTTCATCGGTCCGCATTTTTAATAGGCATATGACGCTTAAATTCCCTTGAACGAACCCAAGAAAAAAAAAACGCCAATTAGTTGAGAAATGGGAGATGATCTGATTTCTTGCATAATAATTTTCCTTGTTTGATAATTATTTTAGATAAGGTGGCTGAATTTTATGGAGTAAAATTTATTCATGTCAAAAAATAAAATGCTGGTCTGTGAATTTATTTTTACAAAGTAAAAAAAAAAAGAAACAAAGTCAAATGAGTCAGTATTGCATTAAGGAACTTTTTTGTGGTGAAAAGATTAGATTTTGAGATGAAAGATTTGATAATTTTTTTTATTTGAACAACTTTTTTACAAACATAATCTCTCGAACATACAAAAAAAATGATGAAATTTTTTTTAGATGACAAAATGCCAGATTAACAAAGCAAGGGGAATTTGAATATTTACAACTAATCATAAAGTACAATCTCCAGTCATTCAGTTTAACCTTATATATCCGTTTTCAATGACTATTAAAGAACACAAAAAAACAAAAATGCACTTTAATTTAATGTGAGAATTTATTTTTATTCACTTTGTTATTTTTCTACAATGAAAAGAAATGTAACAAAGAGAAAAAATCTGGAATATTTTGTTGTAAATCTCCCCGATTAACAATCAAGTTATTTTTTTTGACGACGACGAGAAATTTATAAATTTTTGATTATCTTTTAACATAAGCGGAGTTTCGGATTCAAAATTTTTATTTTTAATCGGAATTTCTTTTTGTCTCGTGCTTAAGAAAATTTCGAAAATGGAGATAGAAAAACCCGTACATGTGTTTATTAGTCATCTCACCCCCCTCCGGAACGTTATGAGAAGATGAAATATTTTTTCCTAAACCGAAATCGTAAAAAATAAATCGAGGAGTAAAAAAATTATGGATTGTCACATATCATTATGATAAAACCAGCTGACCAAAATAAAAGATGAAATTTCATGTGTGAATTCCGAAAATCGTACTATCTTATCTAGGCAAAAATTATTTTTTCTAACAAAATAAACATTATTCCAAAATAAAAAGGTTTTTGGAAATTTTTTTTTTTTTTTTGATGAACAATGGATAGAAAAGTTGTAACAATTAACCTTATCATTATTGTTTGAAAAAACGTTTTTCGAAACCTTTTTTTTACTAAAATAATACATTACGATTTGTGATTGTTGATAATATCCAACAAAAAAAAAATAAGTGAAAAATTATTAGCTAAATTCATATATATAATTTCTTTTTTTAATCCTTAATTAAGAATCTCATATACCGATATACTTTAAACGAATTTATTTTAGGACAAATTTTTTCTTCCTTTGACAGAAACAAGGGAGGTTTATTTGTTAATTATGTAATTAAAAAATTTTCCGATATGATAGATTATGGGCAAAAAAAAAAAAATTGTGAAACAGATAAAATCGATTTGGCAATTCATTACATAACCGAAAGTTATCTTTTGAATCACGAATTTTCGAAATTAATTTCGTTTTCATGTTGTTACATCCTAGCACACAATATACTTAATTTATTCTTGTTTATCAAAAGAGATCGATATTTACATACAACATATAAGTTTTTATTTACAATAGTCCTATCCGAAAAAGAAATTACGTAACTGATATCGTACCCAAAAACGATAAAAGTAATTGTCATATGACGTTATCAAAATATCAAGTGCTTTGGCGGTTATCGGTTATAATTGACTTTAAATTCTTTGTCATAAGAAAATGTTGTATTTGTGATCATTAATTTTGTAATAAAGTGATTTTTTTGAAAAAAAAATTATAATTTAGATTGTAAACAACGAAACGCGTCATAATAATGAATCATAAAACTAATGTTTAGTGGTTAAACTATTCAAGTAGCTTGTTAGTTGTCACCAAATACAAATTATAAATTGGCACCACGCTTTGTAAATTGACGCGAAAAGCATAAAAATTTATTATCGTAATGAAATTTCCTTTTTTTTTTTTCCTAAACCTTTGTCCAAATACAATTTGAATTGACGACTGCGAGAATCATCATCACGTGAAACCCGTGCAAAAAAAAGTTTTCATATATTGGAAAATCATTATAATTATAACAAATGATAAAATTATCACATTAGTTGATTCATCCTATCTAAAAAAAAAAATAATTTTAAACAAAATTTTTATTATAAATAATTCTTTATTTTTAATTGTTAATCTTTAAATTCAATAATAATAAAGCAATTAATTTATATATAATTATAATATTAATTAATTAAGAAAATAATAAATTTTGAAAATTGTAAAATTAAATTTTCTATTATAATAAAATAAGTATATTAAATTTGTCAATAATAAATATTTATGATTTTAATCATTAAAAATTAATATTTTTATTGTTATATAAATATATATATATATATATATAATTTAAAATTATCCAATATTATTTAATTATCTAATTATTTAAATAATAAATTTTGTTTAATTTTGTTTAAATTAATTAAATGCTATTATGTAAAATAATATTTAATATTTTAATATTAAAATTATTATTATTAAAAAATAACAGTTTATCCCTTAAACATTCACTTTGACAGGCAAATTTGCCTATTAAAATAATTAAAAAATTAATTTTTTACATTGAATCTTAGTTTATATTGACCAGAATAACATCTAAAATGTTAAATTATATAATTAAATAAATTTATATTATAATATACAACATGTAATTCATACAAATAGCAAATTTTCAAATAACATGTAATTTACTATACTTCAGTCTGTAAGGTATTTCAAATTATTAAACTATTCAATTTGTTTTAAAAATTTATATTAACTACATATTTAAACAAAAAAAGCTATTATATAATAGAAGAATTTATCTATAATAAAATTTTACATTATTAGAATAATTATCCTAGTTATACAAATTATATAAAAAAATAAATTTATTTATTATCATCATTTTTGTATAAAAATTAACAAAATAATTATGATTTTTATTATAATAAAAAAATATATTATATGTTATATATCAAATTTGACTTTAATATTGAGTTTTATGATCTGTTTATTTACTTATTAATCAAGTATACTATTTAATACTTTCTTTATTCAGTAAAATGATTTTCAGATATCAACTATTAATTTTAAAAATTTGAAATTTTTATTACCTTTATCAGTGAATTCTTTTTTATTTCTTTTTTTTTAAATAATTTCTCAATTAAACTTCTCTTATATAATTTGTAAACTCAATAAGATCTTAAATAAGTTTATGATAAAATTTCTTTTGCTTTTAAATTAATTTTAATGTTCAAATAATTTAGTAAATATTAATAATTACAATATCTAACAGCTAGAAAAAAAGAAGCATTAAATTTTTTTATATTATTTATTATATATTATAATATAATCAGTAATATTTACGCTATTTATATTATAATTGTAATCATTAATTACTTTAGAGATTAATAATTTTTTAGTTCAAAATTAAATATTACATGTATTTTTAAGTAAAGAAAAGAAAAAAAAAAGGAAAAAAAGCAAAAAAAAATAAAAATAAAAATAAAAAATAAGAAAAGTGAAAAGAAAGGAAAAAAAAGAAAGAAAAAGTAAAATAGAATTAAAAAGAAAAAGTAAAAATAAAACAAAAAAAGAGAATAGAAAGAAAATGGAGAAATAAAAACAAAAATAAAACAAAAATAAATAAATAAAAAGGAAATAAAAGCAGAAATAAAAAAAAATGTATAAGTATAAATATAAATCTAAAAATAAAAAAACTAAAATAATAAAATAATTTAAAATTATAAAAAATAATACTTTATGATATTAGTATTTATCTTTTTTGATCATTACCTTTTTTATTTCACTTTTCATTCTTTATTAATAAGATAATAAATAATTAATAACATAGTAACTGATCTATTGTTTTATCAAAAAATAACTAATACTCTATTTACTATAACATCAGAATGAACATTTCAATCAAGTTTAATTTTTTTTATTTTTAAATCTTTTAAAAATCTAAAAGTTATTTTTTAAATAGTTCTATAGATACTAATATTTATTTGCTAAAAATATTAAAAAAGAGGAATATTAAAAGAATAATTGTCTATATAAATATTATATAAAAATTGGTAATATAAAATCTGTATAATAAAATAATAAATAAAATAATTAATTAATTAAACTATTTTATTATTATATTACTTAGTGA